TCTGCGAAGGAGTGAACATCACAATAGACATTTATACACCATTCGATAGCCCTTTTCAAGGGCTACATTCTAGACTATTTGTTTTTGAAAAAGGAGCAACTTCGATTTTTCATCTAATGTCCGCCTATGCCCACTGTGCCTCGAGAAAGATAAGTCACAAGATTTTGCCTGTTTTTGCGCTGCTTTTGCGAGACGCGTTATTTTTTCTAAGTAGTAGAGTTTTGAAAAAATTAAGTTTAATAGATCATAAAAGCTGAACATCTAAGCTTTCGATTGGTAAAAAGATTTTTCGTTTAAGTCATTTTTATAAGGAAAAAATTATCGAAACAATTTTCGCATGCACGTGCAGGAGAGAAGTGTTCAGTATAGTAAGCGCGCTAATTTTAGCCAAAGTCCGTTCAAGATGAAGCTTTCAGGATATATTCTGCAACATGTGACGCGTCGACGTATATATGCCCAAAGATGCCCAAACTTCAGGGTCCGGAGTTATAAGGAGTTCAAATCCGTAAGGTTTTTGAAAGATTTTTTCGTGTTTTTCGGCACTTCATCTCAAAAGTAAGGACATATTTGGAATCAGTGCGCGAAACTGTATCGATCTGTATATCTTTTAATAACTTCGCGAGAAAAAAGTTTTTCCGTAAAAGCGTATTCTAAGAAAAAATAGCATCCATCGGCAGTCTTGTCCGAAATGACGTTAAACTATTGAAGTATGAGCCTAAGAGTCTGAGAAGACGTTAAACTACGTCCGGAACGACGTTAAACCACGGTAATGGTGTTTAGGTAGGGTCTGTTACGGTTAAGGATAAGATAAGGCCTTGGTTCTTCTGGTTTCTGTTGGTAGTGGTTAGCTGTTGAGGGTACAGTTGGTTCTGGTCGCCCAGAGGAGTTCGACTGCCGAACGCACCCCCTCTGGCTCTTTTGCAGTTTTGAGCAGCAGTGGCCAGTTCTTCCGAGACCACAACTTCAAACTACTATCATTTTGACTACTATGAAGCTCCCGTTATTCCCGAAGCGGCTAGCTGAGCAGGGAAGGCACCCAAGGAGGCTTTAAAGCTCCGGAGAGAGTCCCATGACGTTACGGGATAGAAGCTGAGGGCGCTAGGAGGCCTAGGTGAAAACGGTTTAAAGCCAGCTAGGCATAGCGAACGCGTTGTTAAATCGGCTTAAGACCCCGACATCTTTTCACAGTGGCACTCCAAATCACACCGAGTGCAATGCGCATAAGTCGTTTTTGTAAACGTATCAAGTTTTTTTTACATAAGCGATGAAGTCAAATGTTTTATCTCATTCAACTCAACATACCATCAGCTACAAAACTCCGCATTCTTTTTTTTCCTTTTCTTTCCTTTGTTGAAAAAATTCGTTTTTACTGGTATCATAGAAAAAGGGGAAGGTCATTTTTCAATAAAATGCTTATTTTTTATTCAAATAAAGTGAAAATTTTTTTACATAGGCAAAAACTGATGATGAATCTAATGGGTATAAAAACGAAAAATAAAATAACGAATTTTTATGTTTAAATAACGAATAAAAACGAATTTTTTCAACAAAGGAAAGAAAAGGAAAAAAAAGAATGCGGAGTTTTGTAGCTGATGATATGTTCAGTTGAATGAGATAAAACATTTGACTTCATCGCTTATGTAAAAAAACTTGATACGTTTCCAAAAACGACTTATACGCATTGCACTCGGTGTGATTTGGAGTTCCACTGTGAAAAGATGTCGGGGTCTTAAGCCGATTTAACAGCTCGTCTAGGCTCAGTTTTTGATGCTGAATCTGAAAAAAATATTTCCAGAAAGTCAGAGAAAGCACGAACCGAAATATAAGGCGTATTTTGAAAAAAATGTGTTTTTTGAAAAATACGACATACTTCGGTTTTTTCGTATTTTCCGACCTGAAAAAGATATTTGTGTAAAGTAAAAAGTTGTTTTTCGTGATCAGCAACTCTCACTCTATCAAATGATGTAAAAAACCGGCAAAAAAATCTTTACTTGAAGTCTGAATTGCCTGCACCTTAAAAATAAAAATAAAAGATTAGTCGGCTACTGCGTATATAAAACAGTATAAAAAGTACATTAGCTCATAAGTTTACGCAAGATATGAATAAAAATGAAGCATCATATTTATTAATATTCTTTCATGTAGATTAGGTATTATGCATCATAAAGCGACATACAAAATAAAAATGCCTGCGATTTCTAGATCTGCAAGTGCAAAACTGTTGTAGACTGTTGTGAGATTTACACTCCTCTATTATATCTCATATAAATATGTTAACTCTAGAGGAGTATCACAGTATAAAAAATATTTTTCAGCTTATGTTCATCACTTCGAGCGGGATTAAAGTTTACTTTAATTCAGTGTCGGTTAATCCTTTGACTACCGAATAGCAGTAATACTCCTTTTCAATAGATTACGTACTAATTTTTATGAATTACATCATGAGAAATATGAAAAAAACAGGTGTAGCTTTTTTTATACTATGGTAGTCAAAGGGTTAAGCGCCGGTGGAGAACGAAAAAGCAGAGAGAAAGGAAAGACACCGTCCTTTTGTTTTGACTTCTTCCAGCAGTTCAGAAGATCCAAATTTCGACGTTTTTTCTGATCATGACGATAATGACGACGAAAATCATGAGAATGAAAGCCTTTCCACCACTCCTCCACGTATGCAAGAAACACACATATTGAAAGATTACATTCACGACAAAGACGATTATTTTCAAATAGATGATACAACTTACAAATTGATCATTCAAAATTATTGTACCAGAACAGCAATCTTCGAGTGAAAGAAACAGTAACTAAAATTACTATCGTCGCCAAAATACGGCGACCCTGGTTGCTTTCTGAATAACTTCTCACATGAGACAGATAGAGACCTGCGATTTTCGCTGTTCGATAGCCAAGACTTGAGCGGAACTTTTCACAAGCGAAAACAACTTTCGAAAAAATTTCAAAGCTCGGATTTCCAGAGGATCTTTGGAAAACTATCTCCGTTCTCGGAAAACTAGCATACAATATTAGTAATTATTGCTTTTTATCGCATATAGCCTGTAAGATACAGGCTGCATGACAGATATATCTGCCTATAACATAAGATAATTTCTTTCTTGCGCTGGGAATATGCGAGAGACAAAGCTCGCCATTTCTATATAAGTCATTTTTTTCGGTTTCTTCCTTTGAGTTATTGCACAATATGCTTGCAAAATTGCAGTATTTAAGCAGCAAGATTTGATTTCTAGTTATTCAGTTTGTTGCCTTTGAAAACAAGAATTACCTATGGCGTCATTTTTGAAATTACCGCTTTTTAACCAACAAAACTATGTGGAAATCAAACCTTCACATTCGGAAGGAATCTATAACACTACTACTGCTGCTGGCGGTGATCTTGACATCATCTGTTGTGTTGACGTTAGTGGCTCGATGTCTGGTAGTCCTATAAACAATGTCTGTGAAGTCTTACGTGATATATATCAACGTACACAAAAAGACTATCGTCTATTCACATACAATACTCAGACAGATGTGAAACGTACCTTAAAGACATTATCTGAACGAAATGACAATCTCCAAGCTAGTGGTGGAACTTCATTTGCCTGTATATTCACTGCCATCAAAGATTATCTTCTACAAAATGCATCAGCCAAAAAGCCAATAGCCTTCATATTTATGACTGATGGGCAGGATAATGAACCAAATGGACCAGCATTGCAGAAGAGTATTCAGATGTTAAAGTTGATGTTAAGCGGAATGATAAATGTAAGTGATTGTGCAGCTATTTTTTAAATAATTTAATGCTTTATTCTCTTTCAGTCACCTCCGATTACATTTCATGTGATCGGCTTCGGTGAAGTAAACGATACATTTCTTAATCAAATCCGAACATTTGGCACTCGGCAAGGTCTCTTTCGTTATTCAACAGAATCTAAAGAATTACAAAATAATTTTAATGATATGTTTGAATATGCATTGAATGTTCATCAATTCACTATTAAATTCCCCGATGGAAAGACTTTTACTGCAAATAATATCGATAACGAAACCGTTGGTTTTCTTACGAACGATGGTGATGATCTCAGTGCGATGGTCGAATTGACACTCATTGATGAAAAAGCAATAACGACACAATTTCCCCTAGCACCGATGAAAGACGTTCGTACGATACATCTTCTTCATGCACTGAACCTTATTCAACCGGAAAACGAAGAACAGGTCAAATCAATTCAAACCTGTTTGAATGATATTCAAATAACAAATAGCAAAAATTTTGCAGAACGTCTAGAAGCAGAACAAATTTACAAGGAAATTGATCAACGCATGATGGAATATCGACAATTATTTACACAATTGAAAATGACTCAAGTACCCGAACGTGTAAAATTGCAATTGAGTGCATTGAGGCATGATCCAATCTTTGCTAATACACAACGAAAGAAGAAATTAGATCTAAGAGTCTATAAGAATGTCGATTATTTCAAAAAAACAGATGTTAGTGGGATATTACAAGGTTATAAAGATTCCATTACACCGGATGCATGGCAAAAGATCAAAGAACAGAAACAGGATTGGGTGGATACCTACTCCAATGAAGATATCTATGAAATTATGAGAAAATCAACGGATAATATTTTATGTCTGGGTATTTTTGTTCAACGTGACGAAGAAGTCATCAGCAATCCCGCGAAAGGCTTAAAACTTTTGAAGGTGACCAATACTATTATTTCCTATGATTCGTTTATCAATGGAATGAATCTAGCAAAAGGTAATCAACAAGCCCAAGGGCAATTTACTACTCTAAATGATCTCTATTTCATCGCTGGTACTCTCGCCGATGAACAAATCAATGCAGTCATACCCTTGTATATCAACGACGAACATATGAAGCGAATACGTATTCTTGAAGGCATCTGGCTTGGTTATCTCTATACCTTAGACAGTTACGGATATGATAAACAACAGGAAGTTGCACTTTTAAAATTACTATATGAAATTATTCAACAACGTACGAATACACAACGGCAAAAACAAGTCTTAATCGAACTGGAGAAAGTATGTCGATTTATAATCGATGAATCCCAAGGTTTCAAAACCGCGGAACAATATGGTGAGAAGACCTATGAAAAATTATTGAAGCGACTACCAATTGTCAATACTCAAGAGTATGATTTATCAATACCACTGATGATTGGTTATTTAAGAAATGATCTTACATCTGTTCTCGTACCAATTTACTATGAATATCTTCGACAAGAATATCTAAAGAAATATTCAAAGAATTTAGCGACAGTGAAAACAATTGTAGAAAATCTTGTCTATGGTTGTGACGCGAAACATTTGCCAACTGCCTCTAGTACAAATAATTCGAACACATTAATCAATAACAACTTACCGGATCACATCGAAAAAACTTTTATCGATTATTTTCATGATGAATTATCTCAACCAGTTCAATTAACACCAGAAAATATAATCAAGGAAAGTCACAAACGAATGATACGTGAGGAAATCGAATTGGATTATATCAAAAGTTTGCTCTTACCATTACCCGATTTTATTCGAACGATATTAAATTCTTGTCAAATCGACGAAGATTTTATTGAAAAACATTTACATTACGACACTTTAAGATATGAGTTATTAATTACCTTTTATTATCTGATTTATTCAGATACAAATAGTGGAGGACTTTTAAATTTACCGAAGAAAGAAAATATTTTATCTGTCATTGACCGAAGATTGCAGAGTGAGTATTAAACGGAAAAAAACCAATCGACAAAAGAGACCTGATGTATATTTTAGGTGAGAAAGAACGTGTCGTAGCTCATGATTACTTCGAAAGCGTCCAACTTGTCCGTCTTGTCAGTGATGTTGCTCTGAACTGTAAGACATTGGAAGGTTTTGCTGGTGTCATGCGCAAATATTGTCCGAACCGCCGTGGCCCAATATTTAGTGGAATTTTTATACAATTACTTGAATCATATGATGAAAGCGAGGGTGACAACACTGTTGGCACAGCAACCAAGAAAGAGAAACTTATGGCTTTGCTGAAAAATCAAATTTTAACAACGACGGCAACCAAAGTAATTTACGAGGATATGGATCAGTGCCATTCGTTACCATCCTTAGATGAACAATTAAAATCATTAAGACGATTTATTGATGAAAAGAAAGTTGAACAAATTGGATTACAAAATCGAGGAAGATTAGTGGTTTATTGTCGTAAAACACTTATGGTAGACCGCCAATGTCAAAGAAAAAGAAACTATCGTTTTTTTTTAAACCCATTTTATGAAGATTCCTTTTGAAACAATTAAAAAAATCCAAAAGTCAATTTAGGATTAACTAAACGACAAATATTAGTCGAGCTTATTGTGTATTCCAAAAAAGACGAACAATACTTGTTTTTAGAATAACTTTACCCAGTGGAGAATTTTCAGTAGGCACGTGGACATTTGGTTTTAAACTGATCTATTTCACTCAAAACACCAGATTTATAGGTTTTCGCAAGTCCTCTTTCCTCTGGAACACTTTTTCAGCCGATATAGTGCTCAGAAAATTGGTTTTCGAGAGAATCTTGAGGGTTCTGAAGGCTTTAAGGTGACAAATATTACTTTTTTTAAAGTTTCATAGGTTTTCGAGTACGCTGAGTCCGATTACGATATTTTCAGACCTCGTCAACACTCTGAGAACGTTTTTGGAAAGACCTAGCCTCTAGAAAACAGTTTTCTCCCTCAAGTAAAAGGTTAAAAAAGGTCTTACAGTGTAAATAACGTCGCGCAACTCTCCTGACAGTGCCCACCACCATCCTTAAGTAGCCAGGCATAGTTTTCACCTGCAATTTGTTGTGTTTCTCAGAATCAGTCGCAGAGCTTTAGTGGAAATTCTTCAGAACTGTGCAAAGTCTTTTTCTTATCGAAAGTGTTTGTATTTTTTCTTTTAATCGCTTTCTATTTAAAAGATAATATTCGACGGCCAATGTCTGCTTCGTTGCTGTCATACTTCGGTGATCCATTTAAAAAAGAGGGCACATACTTCGTCTTTTGAGAATCAACCGGTTTTATTACTTACTGCGGTACGAAAAACACGGTTACCGGCGGTACAAAGAAAAACCTTTGCTGTAACGGGCGTTAAACGGCCAGTTCGGGATATCGGTGGTATTTTTCGGTGAAACTAACGAGGATCCCTAATCATTCGTAAACCATTCGATGCGCCTTGAAAAAGTCTACAGGATGTGTTGGTAAGAAACGTAACGAAGCTGTGCAGCGGTGTTTAGATATTAAATACTGCACCACTTAAATCTACAGAGGGTCCAACAGTTGTTCGCCACCTTTATTTTGGATATTTTTCGTCGATGATAATAGCTACAAGAGATTTGAAAAACTACTTGAACAGCTATAAGAATTTCCGATCTGGGGTACTGTATGAAAGGGTTCTGTCAAAATTCATGAAATTAGGCGAGAACAGCTTGTTCCATTATTGTACAGTTCAAAAACAGCTTCTCAATCGTACTCATCCGATTCTCCGCACAAAACTGTAAAGATGCTAAAGTTATTAAACCTTGAAAATGTTTCCTTCTGAAAATAACAATTTTTGCGAGGAGCATTACAAAGAAATATCGAAAAAAATGACGCTGTTGTATTTTGTTTGCTTTTTCTCCATAAGCATAAGTTTATGGGAGAAGTGTATGATTAGTTTTGTTACACACTGTACATACCATTGAATTGCAACATTACTGTATCGTTAAATCAAAGCATATTTCGCAAAAAACCAACGGTACATCTTTAGGCTCTGTACCACCGTTACGTCGATGTTTGTCCCAAGCGTCAAGGTCTATCTCTTCCTGAAGAACGCACAACTCTGAGCAAGAATATGACATTTAAACGTTTTTGAAACATTGACACAAGATAAAAAAAATCCCGATATTTCTATGGATTTAAGGCCTTAGGAAAATCATAAAAATAAATCACCTCCGAAACGGCTAAACCGACAGGACTGAGAATTTTACAATATATTCTGTGAACAAACTGACTCATATAGAAAAGCTGCTTCAGTACCAGTTTTGGATTATATTCGATGAACAGGATAGCGTAACAGACAGTCAGTTTTATCAACATTACCAAACAATTATCAGAAATTGTTGTGCTGCTATCATTATCAACAACATCAGTACATCAGCCTTTTTTGTTTTGTGATGATCCTAGTGATAAGTAGATGCTAGATTTGCATCTATCGATGTAGTTCGTTTCCTTCGTAAAAAGAATTTAAGCAGTATTACTGTTTTCAAAAGGAAAGATGAGTGGGCAGAACGCTTAAAAATTTTTAACGAAAAGCGATAGAGATCTGTGGTTTTCAGATACTGAAACTAGATACTTTGGGCTGTAAACATATGAAGAAACTGGATCTACTGATCAGGTTTATCATAGTGTACCATTCAACGCAAAATCTGAAAGCTCCCATTTCGTGATCACACAATGAAATTCGAACTCAAATAATGCCATTCGATAGCCAGCACATTGCTCTTCAAAACTGCGCAAGTGCTCGACCACCATCTTCTCCGGTTTTGGAGATACAGGCGTTTCTGAGGCTCCACCTGTATTGTTCTGCATTCGTCTTGGATTCTCAAAAACACCAGCAACATAGGTAATCGATGCCACTAAACATCGTGGCAATGTTTATTTTTCGAGAGAGTTCCATCATCCTAGTAAAAATCTATACTAAATGAAACAATCCATTATCCACTATTTGCGCAGAAAATTAAAAAGTTCATAACTCACTCAAAACTCTTTCAGACTGTTTCAAAATATCAACATTCACTTGATTTTACATATCAGGTATATCTCCGAAACCGCTAAACTGACAAGATCGACAATTTTAGGCTATATTCTATAAACAAAATGACTCATTTAGATACGTGAGAAAACGTCTGATTGGTCCTAGAAGGTTCGAGGACTTGCCAAATTTCCACGGACTCCGGGTAATTAATTATTTTCGACTCTAACGGTCCACCTGCGTCGTGGAATTTGATCTTGGTATTATTTACTGACCGTCAAAAGTTTCAGGACGTACACAAAGAGTGAATTCAAGATTAGAGGTATTTTATACCTTGTATGCTATTTTTCGCAGATTGGCCTGGAGTCTTAGGTCGGCGCTTAAATTTGTTCGCGTTAGTTTATTGTACGGTGTTTTTGGCGTTGGCGGTGCTGTAGCTGTGTGATTTGCTGTAGTTGTTGTAGGGTGTATGTGGCTCGCTTTTACTGTAGAAGGAGCAGGTGAAGTTTCCCTCTATAAACAGGAGAAACGGATTTCATTGTCATATCACAAAAAGATGGAAAGTTTGTGGTTACTTACTAGCAATATTTCTTTAGCAGACATTGGTCGGACCGACGGCGGTCGAAAACTGTAAAAAAGAAAACAAAATTACTAAGTATGATTTTCACAAATTAAAATTAAGCAGATCAGTCTTACCTTCTTTTCTTCAATAATTTTTTTAGTAAGAAAATACTCGATCCAATCGCTGCAGCTCCACCGACAGCACCACCGACGGCTGCACCAATTGTGATCGAAGAAGTTGTGGCAGCTGAAGTAGCGTTAGAAGTGCCCGGATCACAGCTGGAGCTATTTACGGACACACCGGAACCTGCTGTTGTTGTCGAGAGATTTACCGGTCCTCCGGAGCTTGCTGTCGTAAAGGTGCTTCCTAATCCACCAGAGCTGATTGTTGTCGTCGAGCTGTTTCCCGATGCACTATTGGTGGTCGATATGTCTGTAGATCCGTTTGTGCTGCTTGAGCCTGTAGTGTTACTAATAGTTCTCGACGTCGTTGATGTTGTTGTTGTTCTAGTCGTCGTACCGAAGTTGATGATGGTACTTGTGTTCGAGCAGTTTGAGCCGGTGTTCCCGCACCCCATAGAATAGTACTGACAGCAAAAATGCAGTTCACACTGCCCCCAAACGTTAGGATTCGTTGAGGCATACGCTAACATTGTAATTGAGTTGACACCTGAACCGTTAAGAAAGGTACCGGCAGCTAGTGGTATAATACCATGCTGATTTGCAGCTGGATTAACGATTTCTTGATAATCGAGATGTGTGGCAAAAATAATGCCGAAATTATTGACGGATACATTGTGAGCTATACAAATATAGTAGGCGGTGGTATTAGCATCGGAAGGGAGACCAGAATTCCAGGCTTGTTCAGTGGCAGCGATAAAAGCTTGAGGAGCCAAGGTTTTGTTGATGACTGTGGAGTCATTAGCCAGTTTCGATTGTTGATAAGCAAGGACATATGGTAAATCTAGAAAAGTATAGGCTTGATATGGTGATGTTAAATGCCAATCACTCTCGTTAACGACTCCATACGCGTGAACAGCTACGCTCCAGTCGAATGATGTTGCGACACTCGCCCAAAGGCCCTCGAGTAGATAGAAGGTTCCTAAAGCACACCGAGTATTGGAATTTGTAGGACAGAAAGACAATGCAAGTTTCCACTGCCGATCAACTGAAACGTACATCATAGTTGGAACTCCCTGACGGACGAGAGCGAGAGTTTGATGAGCTGTGGTGAACAGGTTGACGTAGCGAGCGACCCATGCATGTCCGTCACTTGTATTTACAATTGAATGATTGACATTATTGCTGTAGGGAGTTGGATCGTAGTATGGTGATTGGTCGACTTCATTTCCAATGATCCAATGAACAATATTTGTCCAACGGGAAGCAGCGAATGCAATCCAATCATAGTAGGCTGGCATAAATTCATACATCGGTGGACATGCTACATATGTCCACGCACTACCTATTTTCCCACCTAAACAGTCGGGATGAATGTATTGCGCTGGAGTTCCCCAAATGACGGCGGCTGTTTCAAGTCCAAACTCTTTATCCAAAGCAAAAGTAATATCCAAAAGCTGGACAGTTGCAGTAACCATACAGTGATACCAAGAAGCATTGACTTGTAGACGTTGAATTTCGTTCTTTGGTCATTTGAACTCGTTCGATGGACAGGTTAAATTTGAGTAGTTTGAGGGGAGAATACTTCCAGACTCCAGTTGATGCCAAAACAGATTCCGTTTATGAACTTTATGTCCCTGAAAATTTGTTACGGCACTGTATCGGGCTTGAAATGAGGCATTGTCATTGGTGGCAATAGTGAGCATAAATCGTTCATCATCAACACCTTGTTTTGGGACACCCAACGCATAACCGTTGCTGATTGTCTTTCCGATGACAGATAGACCGACGGCGGTGGATGGTAGTAGAAACAGAGAGAGAAGAAAAATCATTGTTATTAAGAAATAATATATTACTGTGTGAGATTTCACTCTTATTAATATAATATATTATTGCAAATAAAAAGAAGACTAACAAAGACACACGCTGAAAAATAAACACTTAGAAAAACTAATAAGCAGAGATACCTTATAAAGTATACTCATAAAATTCAATTGATTACTGTTTCGTTTTACGTGTTTGCCTATTTCTGTTAAAAAACTAATCTTATTGAAAAAGTATAATATAAAATATAAATAGAAAACTCGAACAATCCACTTCTTGACTAGGCGTGCAACGGTACCGATTATCGGTCCTTACCGATAAAACTCTCTAATCTTTACCGCTTTAGCAGTTAGCAGTTAGCAGCTGTTGTCACTGGATAAGCATATTATCACTTCTTTTTTGTTCTGCGCCTACCATTACCACTTGTAGAGCAATCAGAACTGTTTTAAGAGTGCCTGTTACGGAGAAGATTGCCACTTCGGTGACCACTTTTTTCTTACTCTGCTTTGTGACACTATTTTTATTAGTTTTGCAGTTTATGCGTAGAGTTAGTTTCAGCATGACCACCACAGGAAGTTTCGAAATTTTTATCTATCGCTATCGACTGAGCCCACTGTCTGCAGGTCAGGGTCGGAAATAACGAAAGGACGTGGCAGAGTGCGCACCCGTGAATAATTGAAAAAGCTGTTGTTATTTTATTCATTATTCCTCGCACAAAATCTTTTTATCAATTTCACACTACCTCGAAAAAAGATTTTGTTTTGTACTCCCCTAATGTTCTGCTCCTGTTTGCGGTCCTGCTGCAGGTATCATACACTGACTCTGTATTGCGTGCTTGGATTGTTCAGTTTTCTTCTTCTCTTTATTGAGAATAATCAACATAAAAGAATGACTTTACTTGACTATCTATCTGTAAAATTACGGCGTATAAAAAGATTTTTGATGATCATATCTAACACGCACACACTCTCACCCTCATGCACATACTCACTCGCATACGCACACTCTCATACATATACTCAATCTCATACACACTCGCTCGCACACACAGACTCTCTCACTCTCATACACTGGATGGTAGTAGAAACAAAGAGAGAAGAAAAATCATTGTTATTAAGAAATAATATATTACTGTGTGAGATTTCACTCTTATTAATATAATATATTATTGCAAATAAAAAGAAGACTAACAAAGACACACGCTGAAAAATAAACACTTAGAAAAACTAATAAGCAGAGATACCTTGTAAGGTATACTCATAAAGTTCGATTGATTGCTGTTTCGTTTTACATGTTTTCTTATTGAAAAAGTATCATATAAAATATAAATAGAAAACTCGAATAATCCACTTCTTGACTAGGCGTGCAACGGTACCGATTATCGGTCCTTACCAATAAAACCCTCTAATCTTTACCGCTTTAGCAGTTAGCAGCTGTTGTCACTGGATAAGCATATTATTACTTCTATTATACACCCTCATACAAACAATGTTGATAAATTATGTAAATTTTGTTGTGAAACTTATTAATATAGAAAAAAACAGAAAAAAGAAAAAAGGGTTAAAAAGTAAAAGTAAAGTAAATAATAAAGGAATAAAAGAATAGAAAAGGCTATAAGAGGTGAACTGTCGCTAAAATGACAGTTGTTTCGGCCTTAAACTTTTTCTAATGAGTGTAAGTGTGGTGTATGTATATAGATTCATGGTAATAAAGGAAGAGTGATTGAAAATATAAAATAAGTTATATATTACTGGCATGGACATAGGGAAAATATTTAAAAGAGAACGCAATTAGATTGAAAAGAGAACGTTTTGAATTTTTCGGAGAACGCAAATTAATTGAGATAGAAAAGAGAATGCATGAAAGAATGGAGAACGCTTTTTAATTTTTCAGAGAACGCAAATAAATAGGGATAGAAAAGAGAGCGTAATTTGACTTAAAAATATTTAATTTTTATTATTTTCTCAATTAGTAAACATGTAACTATACTACAAAAATGTTTATTTCATTAATGCTAAACGTGCCTTTTTTGGTCTACCACGTTTTTTGCTGAAATTTTCTAATTTTGATGGGTCTTGAACAAAATAATAGCCTAAAGGAATCATCGTGCCCAGACCATGTTCACATGCATATGATTTTAAATTTGTTTTACATGAACACATCATTCGTATTGTAACTAATCGTCCAGAATATAACCATGATGAAAATTCATCAAATGTTTGCCATGACAAAAAATTACGTGGCCTCTAACTGGAATCGAACCATCACTATATGCATATCATGACACACAATGTACTACCACACCACAGAAACCGTATAGTGATATGTTTAGTAATTGAGCAAATAGTAAAAATTAAACATTTTTAATTCAAAATACGTTCTCTTTTCTATCCATATTTATTTGCGTTCTCGGAAAAATTCAAAACGTTCTCTTTTCCATCTAATTGCGTTCTCTTTTAAATTCTTGTCCATGGACATATATAGAAATAAACGAAATAAGAAGAGTGATTACTTTTCTTTTGCTTTGAACCAAGGGCGAAAAGTGAATACGAAAAGAGAAGTCACAAAAAACGTTTTGTATTTTCTTCTTCTTGGTTAGACGTATTGAACAGTGTACAGATAAATAGTGCAACTGTGCTAGCGGTATATAAGGTTATTTTCTGTGACGTGTAGTAACAGTTGTACACTTGTACAGAAAAACAAGAAAACAAAAAAAGTTTCGTTAATCAGACGAAAAGGTTGACTTTATACTTCAACAATTCTCCATTAGAATTAATTCTCGATTTTGATTATTAGGTTTATTTAAGAAGACGGTGATACTAAAGCAGATATTTATCGATTGAACACTGGTTGTAAGTGTTGTATCCAGATCCCCCGATCTAATCGGTGCTGCTCGTTAATGAAGTTGGTTTCGATAACTGTAATGATGAGGTCTTGGATACAGTGGTCTGGTAAGTTGAAGTGAACGACGGTAAGTGGTTCTTCGTATTTCTCTTGGCGTATTGCAAGAATATGTCCATTGAAGAGAATATGTAGTTCTTGCATTGTTGTACCTACATATTGACAACAGCAGTGCCGACATGTGATAAGATAAATGATGTTGGATGATTTATAGTTGATTAAGTGACGAACTGGGAATAATCTATTGTATTTGGTGCTAATGAAAAATTGTGTTTCGATGACAAGTGAACAGATAGAACATCGATTTGCATTGTATTTGTAGAAGCCGGTGGAAGGTGGATGATAAATTGGTGGTATGGTGCAGAAAGACGCTGGATATTTTGAACGGACGAGTATTTTGTAAAGATTATTGGGTAGTGTGTAAACGAAACGATAAATATCTGGCACGATGATATCGAATTCATTTGAAAATAATTATTGAAATGATGGTAATGGACAGTTATATGGTAATATAATGTTTTTGTGTACGATTGGTGATGGGGTTGTGGATGTGGTATATGTTGGTGTTATTGAAAACATATTATTGAATGTTTTTTCAACTAATTCTGAACGATTTGAGTCACGATAGCGAAAAATTTTGTTCGGTAAGTTGAGTGGGTCGTGTTGACGAGCAAGTAAACGACAAAATAGAAGAAAATATTGTTCCCATCTTGATGTAAGTGATGAACAAATACGAGTAATACGATTCGATAGTGATAGTGGTATATTTTGGATGATATGACGAGGATGTGAGGATACTTAGTGCAGACATTGAAACGTGTTGATTGGTTTTGTATAAAGAGTTGTTTCAAGACGATTCAGTAGATGATTAATAGTAATAGTAATGTCGAAGTAATAATTGATGGATTTGGTGCTTTGTTGAAAATTATATTGAAGATGTTTGTTATTGTTGTTTAGTGTTTCGATAAACGTATTAATTAGAATGGATGGTTTTGGTTGTAGGTAATCGATCATGCTAAGCCTCGTGCCAATATTTCTTTTTCTAAAAAGCTCTAAAAATCTAGCGAAAAAGGAGCTTCACGAAATTTGCTACTTTCACCTATTATTAAAAAGTTCACTATTCACTCAAAATACACCAGAATGACTTTAAAACTTCAGTGTGTAAAGCATTTAGGCTATTGTATATCTTATTTACGGGAGATCTAGACAAATTTCATAGAGCTCTAGGGCCTGTCCAAAGGGTTTCCGGAAAACCCATTAATAAATATATGACTTTTTCAGTTTTTCAATCGTATAATCACAGTAGCGGGCAGAATTAACTATATTGGCTAGGCAAGGAGGATAATAATGAGGCTTTGCTCTCTTTTGACCTCTCTTAGTTATAACTATTTGTTTCATCAATAAATAAATAAAGTTTAAAAAAAAATTAACCATATCCTGCGGTTTTGAACTTGTTCTGATGTATTTTGAGTGAATAGTGAACTTTTTAATAATAGGTGAAAGTAGCAAATTTCGTGAAGCTTCCTTTTTCGCTAGATTTCTAGAGCTTTTTAGAAAAAGAAATATTGGCACGAGGCTTAGGATGATCGATTACCTATAGTCCATTCGCTTTCAAGGGCACCAATAGGCATCAGGTGCCAGTTCTGGGATTTGTAGGAAATTCAATACAACGCTAGAGCCGTAGAAAAACTAGGTTTTGCTTGACTCCCGTTTTCAAGAGGACATGCGGGCTATGAGCCCATGAAAAAAAATCAACGTAGTCCTATTATAAAATCTTTACACACGACCTGATTTCCCAAAGATCACCTAAAAAGTCTGTTTCAGGGGAAATAATTTTGCTTGCAGAAACATGCCTCCAAGTCTTCTCTTTTGCATGGCTAAAACCGAAGGTACTGCTTTCTATCCAAAATTGTTCAAAAAATATCCACTGCTCTTGTATTTTGAAACAAACAGTAGTCTATTTTTTAAAATTACACTTTCAGGCTGCATTCTGTACGTCGGAGACTAATCGCGCTATCACTGTTAAGTGTTTTATCCAATTACGTAAAAGATTTACATTTTTTTTTCCTTTTCGAGAGTGTTGTGATAAAATAAGAAAACTATCGACTACCAGGTGCGCCTAAAACTGTGTCCGAGTAATTTTAATTAATCGATTAAGTATTGGCAAGCATCTGCATTTCCATTGCTCCAACTATGCGGAAAGAGTTAAAACTTTTTACGTCTAAGGATAATATTTGTTTTATTTAAGAAATACCAATTCTTGTGTCGTATGTCCTACAAAATAATTACACTGACACCGTGTAACTAACTTCTGTGCTATAAGATCGTAATGTTTTAATCAGAAAAACGGTAGATAGCGCTCTACTGCCTTTCACTTGCTGCAAAATTTTGATACAAAAGGATTATTTGTAAATAAGTCGCCACACGAGTCCTTTCTCTAACTGCCTAGGCTGACAAAGAAAAGTAGGTGTTTTATCTATTTTACAACGTTAATTTTCATAGGTCTGAGTGAAACTGAAAAGAAATTTTTGAAAAACCCAATGCGAATTTGTCACGATGTGCACATATTCACGCAAAAAAGTGGAATCGAATGATGATTATGTGCATGCGGTATATTTGCATAAGTTGTGCCTATTCATCGTTTTGGTCGCCTTGCTAATGTAGTTTATGGTCATTTCGAACCAGCTGGGAAGGTTTTCATCATTGCATCTGAGAATCGAGTTCAATGTTCTGCTCTAAAAACGCACAGGTACTAGTGGTGCGCCGCATTTGAGCTAAAAATTAACTTACATAAAAAAAACGAAAGACTAGAATTCGTCTAATACACAAATTTTTCTGTTTTTTCCGGGAGTTTTTTCCTGGGTCAGTCTTGAGTCACCTTAAGGTACCCTATACGTGAAGAGCAGGAGAAAGTTCCATTGCACGTCATATATGAATGAATTCGACGGAAGCTTGCACAAATCAGATGCTCAACGTTGGTTCAAAATCACTCAAAAACTGTGTTGCTAATTTTAGTGCGGTTGCATGTGAATAGATAAATGAAAAAAACGATTATTAAGAAATTCCAGTCGACTGATGCATTTTGGTAAGCACCTACTAAATTAAACTTTTATTTGTCGCTGTTTAGTTTCATGCCTCTTTTGATCCAGTTTCCCATATGAGTTTGAGTGAGAAAGAAAAGCAGCAGTTTGAACGAGAAATTAAAACAATGATATTTAATGATGTATATGCCAATGATGCTTCAACAATAACAACTGCACCAACTCTTACTACAACATCAACAACAACGACTACACAACAACAGCAACGTACTCAGGAAAAAAACCGTCAGCATACGAGGATTTCCTTGTTGCTTGTGACGAAGAAGGAAGTTTGATGATAGACAATAATGTTAAAGAGAAAAATAAACGAGTGACCATCAATGATGAATTAAAATATTTAACAAAAAGCAGTTCAACAATTTAATTTAAAAATAAAGTCATCAACAACATCAGCCATTGAATGTTGGAAAATTAATCAATCACATTTGTCAGTATTGTCGCATTTAGCTAAAATTCATTTAGCCGCTTTTGGTACTAGCGTACCAAGTGAATCGGCTTATTTAGGTCGTAAAGAAAGAACACGTTTATCAACTGAAAATTTGTTATTTTCAGTTTTTTTAAAAGACAAAATTGTTTCACAGTGAATTAACTTTTTATTGATATCTTTTCTTTTAGACGTTTTCTTTTGTTTTTGTTCCGAGTGTGTGAGTGAGTGTGTGTATGCGAGTGAGTGTGTATAAGAGTGAGAGTGTGTACGTGTTACATATGATCATCAAAAATCTTTTTATACGCTTTAATTTTTGATTCTTGATAGATAGTCAAGAAAAGTCATGTTTTTATGTTGATTATTCTCAAGAAAGCTGAACAATCCAAGCACACAATATAGAGCCAGAATATGCAACCTGCAGCTTTCGTAACAAAATTCGCTTTCGTAATCACGAAGCCATCCTTGAAACACATGCTCTTCGAAACTCACTACCATCCGCACTCACTCATCATCCAATTCCAACAATTGGTGCTGAAAATCCTGAGTTTGTTAAAAATGGAATAAAATTTGCATATTATTCAAGTAAGGAGCTTAATATTGTCACCACCACAAGAAAGATCGAAATATTTTCTTTAACATGTGTAATTGCAGTCGTAAAAGCTCCTTACTTGATAATATGCAAATTTTATTCTAGACTGCTATCCGTTCCAAAATACACGGCCGATAGTTATTTTCATAATTCATAATATTCATAATTCAGTCAAAATCCATCCAATCTACTTCCGAATGTACACTCTGTTTTATCTGCAGTTCAATAAATTCTCAGTAAAACTCAATAAACATTGAAAAAACCAACAGAAAATACTTTGCTTTCTGGAAAGGTTTCCTAGAAACCTTCGGAACTAAGAGAATTCTTTTTTATTGATTTTACGTACAGAATAAACCAGCGGATAAAAGAGAATCTTTCCAGACATTCGCAAGTAGATTTTGACTGAGTTGTGAATTTTTTAATTTTTGATGAAAATAATCAAAAATGGGGTATTTCACCTATTATCCGTTCCAGAACTCAAGGCAATCGGTTGTTTTTTGAATAACGTTTGATAGGAACACGACGGAGACGTGCGGTTATCACCATTTGATAGCCAAGACCCAGGAGCATGTTTTCACGGGTAAAATCTTTCCTAAAAACAAATCCCAAATCGGTTTTTCACAGGATCTCTGGAAAATCACGCTGGATTTCTGAAAACTGCCATAGGAGTCTACTGATTCGTTTACATGGATAGATAGCTTAGAGTATCCCCTACAAAACTAGTTCTAAACAAAAGTTCTATTTTGCAAGGTTTAGACAAACCAGACAGTTTTTCCGAAGCCTTGGGACTCCCCTTTCTTTAGGTGTGAGATATAACCACGATCCACAAACTGGCAATTCAACAGATTCTAGAAATTCAAGGAATTCAACAAAGTCATATAAGATATTGAGTTATAACATTGAACTACCATGAAAGTCTAGGAATTCAAGAAAATCTAGCAGTTGAATAAAGTCAAGGAATTCTCGGAATTCAAGGAATTCAACAAAGTCATATAAGATATTGAGTTATAACATTGAACTACCGTGAAATTCAAGGAATTCAAGAAGATCTAGCAGTTGAAGAAAGTCAAGGAATTCATATACGATATTGAGTTATAACCTTGAACTACCATGGAATTCAAGAAATTCCAGAAAATCAAGCGATTCAGGAGATTCAAGAAAGTCAAAGAATTCTAGGAATTCAAGGAATTCAACAAAGTTATATAAGATATTGAGTTATAACCTTGAAGTACCATGGAATTCAAGAAATTCAAGAAATTCAAGCAATTCAAGAAAGTCAAGAAATTCTAGGAATTCAAGGAATTCAACAAAGTCGAATTCCTAGAATTCCTTGACTTTCTTCAACTGCTAGATCTTCTTGAATTCCTTGAATTTCACGGTAGTTCAATGTTATAACTCAATATCTTATATGACTTTGTTGAATTCCTTGAATTCCTAGAATTGCTTGAATCCCTAGAATTCCTTGACTTTCTTGAATCTCTTGAATTGTTTGATCTTCTTGAATTCCTTGAATTTCATGGTAGTTCAATGTTATAACTCAATATCTTATATGAGTTTGTTGAATTCCTTGACTTTCTTCAACTGCTAGATTTTCTTGAATTCCTAGAATTGCTTGACTTTCTGGAATCTCCCGAACTGCTTCATTTTCTTGAAATTCAAGGAATTCAAGAAGATCAAGCAATTCAAGAAAGTCAAGGAATTCTAGGGATTC